GGAGCTGTGTGGTTGAAGCTCCTTATTGAGGCTAGGTTGACATCATACTACATAGGGTCTGTAATATTTGACATTGTCAGAGACTGACAGAATTAGCCTAAATAGGCTTTGCTAAAGGCTTGAGTTCATGAATTTTAGTCAAGTTTGAAATCAAAACTCTGTGCGTGCCTGCAGGCTGCAGACTACGGATGGTAAATGACTGGGAGATGTCAGTGTCTTGCTTTCGTAGAACTCTAATATCACAAATGTTAAACGAATAATCGTTTTTAACTTTGAACCGAGGTTCTTGCCTTTTTGTAAATATTATGTTACATGTATATAATTCTTTATATCTTTTTATTTAGTGTAAAATATCAAAGCTGTGTATTTAATCACAGGACATATTTTAGCCAAGATGTAGAATAGCTTGTAGCTTAAGTATGTATTCAATAGTTATTCATACTTATTTATTACATTCTCATTCATTGCTGTGATACTTTTGTGTGTTAGTGGTACCGGACACGATCAGCATCAAATGCTATTTTCTGGTCCCATTTATCCTTTCAATGTTATACGTTCACAATTGATTGTTATATTAATGTGCTTTTTGTTTGGATAATAAAGCTTCAAACTCAAACTCAAACTCAGATAGAAATGTAGATAGAAAGATAAATAAATAATACGATAGATAAAGGGATGAACTAAAAGAGAGGGATAGATAGATAAATAGTTGGATACACAGATATATAGATAGATGGATGGAAAGATAGATAGATAGATAGACATATAGATAGATAGATAGATTTGATGTATAGATATATAAATAGATAAATGGATGGATACATAAAAAGTTAAGTTAAGAAGAAATAATGAAATATTCGTTGGAAAAACAAAACATTAATATTCTGCTTAAATCTTTTGTCCAGTAAAGAGAAATTTATTAAAAACCAGCGTTCTTCGAAACCTGAAAAAGGGGTACAAGAGTTGCTAAGAGCAAATGTAAAACAACAATGATAAGCGTGCTAGAAAAGATGACGAAGCAATGTAAAGACTGGGTATTGCAAATGAAAAGGGAGTGAGAAGTACTAGAACGACAAAACAAAGAAAACGCCTAGAAAGGCGTGGAAAAAAGAGAAAAGAAGAACGGAAAATGGAACGCGAGAGAGAAGAGACTAGAATAGAGAGGAAGAAAGAGAGAGAGAGAGAGAGAGAGAGAGAAAGTGATAATTAGTAAATACACTATTATGTATAATGTTTATAATGCTGTTATGCATTTGTAATAGTTTGAGATGTAAAAATGAAAAGTTGCGATTTGTTATTATATATTAATTTCATGTTAAAGTAATGTAACTCCAATATCTTGAAGTATTATGACAAAATATTTATATATTATCATTCTGTTATTATTCTGTGTGCAATGGATGAACATTAAAATAACTTTTAAAATAAAAATAAAATTTCCAGAATCTGGCCGGTTCCTTATCCTTATATTCCCTACAATTCAACATTTTCTTTCTCTATTGCGACTAATACGGAAGTGAGTCCTGGGCCATGACAAAGAATGACAGAAAGATAGTTGATGCCTTTAAACCGTGGTGCTACAGGAGGCTGGTGCAGGTGTCATGGAAAGATAAAAAGACATATATGTGAGTCCTGGACAAGATTGAAACAGACTTGACCATCAGAAGGGGAATCATGGAAAGAAATCTAAACTATTTTGGGCACATTTTTAGGAGACCTGAAGTTGTTGAGAAGCAAATACTGCAAGGAGCAGTCAAAGGAAAATGGGGTAGAGGTCATCCACCAATATCTTGGACTGAAGATATCAAGAAAGTGTCTGGACAAGGAATGAAAGGTGCAACACAAATGGCAGGTGAAAGAGTTGCATGGGGTTGCATGGCGTACTCTCGTGAAGACCACAGCAGCGCTTTACAGCGCCACCTGAAGTTGATGATGATGATGATGATGATGATGACAATTGATTCAAGCCGCCGAAGATGGCGCTATCAACGAACAATTACGCTCACCAGCTCAGCCTTCGCCTGGCGTCGTAATAGTCCTGCGTACGCGCCTGCGTAGACTGATACGTGTGACGTCCATTCATGGCAGTACATTAAAGGGAAGTCGATCGTAGCAATCCACATTGTCGTTGTGCAAATCTAAAAGTCCCTAATTTCAGGTTCATGACATCTTCGGATGGCAGCAAGTGGAGATCGCATTGCTTTGGTTTGGTGATCAAAATCGAATAGGCCAGATTCTGTAACACAAATCGTAAATAACGTGTGCATGGTACAGTCACACACAGGCGCGCCGGAAGCAGTTTGGGATGGGTGGGGGGGGGGGGGGGGGGGGGCAAACAATCCAGGGGGCTCACCAGGGGCAGTGACGTAATGAGCAAAATCGTTTGGAAGAGGGGGGGGGGGCAGAAGAAAAATCTCTTACACGTTACATGCCTGCCTCGCGTAACGTTTTTCAAAGTATTCAGAGTATTAACGATCAGGTAGAGCGTAAATTGGCGTGGGGTCCAGGGCCTGAGCCCCGGCAAGGGGTCAAGGGGCTGAGCCCCCGGAAGCTCAGAGTTTTTAGGCATTAAATTACGGTCAGATAAGCATATTTAGATACTTTATTTGTGTAACTGGCGGGTCACTATTTGGCGGAGAGTACAGGGAGCAGAGCCCCCGAAAGCTTATTTTTTCAATAAGGTATTTAATTACGGTTAGATGAGCATCCAGGGGTCCTCTTTAAGGCCATTGATGTGGTCCAGGGGGCAGAGCCCCTAGAAGCTCAGAGGTTTAAATATTTAAATACGGTCAGTTGAGCATCCAGGGGCCTCCTTTGGGCTCTTGGTGGGGTACAGGGGGCAGAGCCCCCTGAAGATCTTGTATTTTAGGTATTTAATTACGGTCAGATGAGCATCCAGGGGACCGCCTTAGGGCCCTTGGAGGGGTCCGGGAGCGGAGCCCCCCCCCCCCGTAAGCTCTGGGGTTTTAGGCATTTAATTACGGTCAAATGAGCCTATATTTTGATACCTCAATTGTTACATTGTCAGGTCACTTATTTTTTTCTCTCTCTCTCTTTCTTTCTTTCTTTTTCTCTGTGACATACTTTTTCAAAATTGAGGGGGCTCAAGCCCCCGAGCCCAGCCGTTTCGCAGACCATGACATAAAGGCTTCTAAATAAGCATATTTTTTCGCCCGACTGTAAATTTGTCAATTTCTAATTTTCCAACAAACGCATAAAAAGGTATGACTTTATACAAAAAAAACTGAGAAAAATTACCGGAAAATCATGTCATTCAGCAACATTTAATCACTGGTATCGAATAAGAAATAACCCCCCCCCCCCTCCCAATCAGTACGCCAGCGTTCAGGGGCTCATGTCTTCTCACCCCTATAACAAACAACAGACACGCTTTCCCATTCTCTCATATATGTCCACGATATACGCGTATCGCTATTATAAAAACCTCCATTTTAGGTGGCATGCATAATGTGCAATGTTTAGGAAATTTAATTCCCGTTAACTTTCCTTTTCTTTGAATGGAATTTTGTGTGTGATTTAATTCAGGTTTTTATTATTGTTATGTTCTTTTGGGTTAAAAAAATACAAACTATCTTTACTCCTTTACTGCTTTTGTTTTTGGATGGGGTGGGGGCGTTTTTTTTTTGTTTTTGTTTTTTTTTGGGGGGGGGGCTAAAAATGCATAACTATCCTGGCTGTGCTATTGATTCTCAACATTTCAAACACCACTGTACAAAACCTAACTAATTTCACTAAAAATCGGTTCTTCAGTGACAATTCATGACACCTAAATAGCAGAAAAATACAATTTTTTCAACTTTCAGATGTTACATAGAATAATTTTAAAATGCAAATTGTGTGTCTACTACAAACTTGCCACTTGCCGATCAACCGCATCGGCATGATTGTGTGCATCTGTGTGTTATGAGTGTATTTACTATTCATGTATTTAAATGCTGCCTATTTACACGTAGTGCAGTGTTAACGGTCAATACGCATTAGCGTTGACTTTCTATGTGGGTACAGTGGTTGTAATTGTATACAATGCAATCTGTATGTAGCCTACTCATAGAATTGGCAAATCCACACCGGTAGGGGCTGCACTTTGATCGGTGTACCTTCTGCACGCGCGAGTTGGTTCAATCGTTTTTCTACCCCCGCTCTGGGTTTTCCCAATTTCATGTAACGTGACAATGGGTTGTCTTTGTTTGCCATTACTTGTAATGTTTTCCGCCTCCACATAAACAGGCTAATGATGATTCACTGCAAAATGTGACATTTAGCCTATATTAGCCTATCATAATTATGCTGCCAATGAAAGGTATAGCCACTCGCTAATATAAGAAGTAAACCTAATAGTATGTTGGGTTTTCTTTTTAAAGCAAAACCTTAGGAACATGCATGTCTTTAGAGTGAAATGAAAAACATTAATGACCTTTAACCCAACTCTATTTGAAAGGTAGAGATTGTAATATATATTTTGTTTTAAATATAAATATTTAGTAAATTCGATTAAATTCCTCAATATGGCAAGAAACATATAGTCTCAGGTATAGAGACCAAACCGTACATAAGACACCATACAGTAATATATAAAACATCATAGTCCCCTCTCCTCGATGTTGATGGTTAATTTAGTCGACTATGATGCATAAGAATGATTGAAACCTCAAGAATACCCATATCTATATCATATGGTTTAATATGATGATGATAGGCTCAAACATTGTAATGATGGATAGAAACTAGCGTGGAATATTGTGCTTCCACCATTAACATGGAGAGAACTATTGTAACATTTGCGCGTGGGCATGAAGGCAGTGGGCAGATTAGTGTATGTGATTCAAATAATAATTTTCATACCACAAGCCAAAGGTCGGTTGATCATCCATTAAAATCCCTCATCCGTTTGTACATCCGTGTGTACATCCTGTTGTACATGATACTTGCCTTATAAAGAACTTCCTACACCCAGTAATAACTAGACCTACTATGTAACTATGTCTAGCCATACGACAAATCTGTATACTATTGAGCGTGTAACGTGTTTGTGCGCGTATTCAGGGCGAAATCTGTACAAAGATGGCTACTTCCAGCTCGGAGATTAGGAAAGGGAAGCTTGATGAGTTACGACATGAAATCTTGTCGTACAAACCAGGCAAGGCTGTACCTTGTGATGATGAACGAGTGGTGTTTCCTGATAAGCTTGTTATTGGTACGATAGGTTTACCCGAGCATGCGTACAGCATAGTCCCTGTCCTGCGAAGTGCTCTTTATGGAGACGTAGAGCATCGCAAGCTTGCTGATGAACATCAAACATCTACTGATCAGGAATATCTCACCGATTCTATATACGTCATCACAAGAGAAGCTCTCTTCCCAGGTTTGTATATTGAAAAAAGAGCTTTGTTGTTTTGTTTGTGTTTGTTGTAAATCCGAAATGATACTACGCCTCCACTATGAACATGTATCGTTGGAATAAAAGCTATTTCATTAACTCTAAGGTAGGTTTTTGGTAAAATAATGAATTGCATTGACAAATTACCCCTCGTCTTTAATAGACTAGCATTGTAAAGAATGTCAAAAAAATCTAAATATGTTGGGTAATTTCTTATTTTGTTTTTGATTGTCTCTAAAAAACAATAATTCCCATGTGTCAAAAATGGGACAATGTAAACCAACTGCCCAATTTGTATTTGTATGTTTTGTAGAAGAAATAAATTCAAGTTAATTCAATTATGGCGGTTTGAAAAAAAACTACGCGATGATCCTATTTGATGTTGTTATGGGTGTTTTTTTAAGGGTTTTGGAATTGTACCATTATTACCCGCACTGCAGTTCTTACAAAATTCCCACATGACATTATACTTACATAGGACAACATAGATTCATGGATTCATCATTATTTTGGCAACCCCTTCTTTCGAACCCATGTAAGATTCTCTTTATGAAACGCATTAAGTTCACCGTTTATATTTTCACAAAATATATTTTTGTGTGGTTTCATTAAATGTTATTGCAAAAACAATTCATTCATTTGTGTTATTCTGGCATAATGCATGCAATTTATAGAACTACACAAGCTTTTCTATTTTGCTCTTTCTCTACTTCTGCATGTAAGCTAAATATCATGTTAATAATATCCAAAAGGTTCATCATGCACAATGTATCAAATACGTTCTCTCTTACCATCTTACCAGTTTTAAACGAAGAAATTGTACGAGACCTTGCCGGGAAGGTCGGACGTATCGTGCTGTTACTAACGTGAGTATTAATCTTCTCGCTCTACATATTCACATGGGTAATACATATTTGACTGATATAGACTACCATTTTTGTAATCGCATAGTAATGCTGGTACGCTTATGGCTAGATGATGTCTTTGGAATATTTATATGGGTAAAAGAATTTTTTTTGTTGGAGATTGAGCCCATTCGCTTGTATAGTAATGCGGATACGTTTGGGCGGGGGGGGGGGGGCAATGTCATGGTTTGCCCCTAGCGGAATAATACTTAGATATTCACCACTGTTTATCACTTTTGTGTATGCAAACATGATTTTATAATGTCTCTCCTTACTTCTGTTACCCGAATTTGACAGCAAGGTGCCCGAATATGTTCGATATCTTTACATCTTTAATATCGACAGTGGCGTAGACAGGTTCGTACACCTGGGGGGGATGACTGGGCTGCCAACGCTAGTGAGGGAGCGAAGCGACCGAGCGGGGGGAGGGGGTGTCCCCCTCCCACGGTAGGGAGCTTTTGCAATTTTGAACTTGAAATCGTGCAATCTGATGCATACTTAATGAGGTAAAATAACACACACAAGCGTGCACGCACACACACACATACTCACACACACACACACACATACACTTTTTTTTTTTTTTAACAATTTTGTTTTATTTCTCCAGATGTGTAACACAAACCATGACATACAATTGAATAAAATAAACGTGTTCAATATTGATGCTTTTACATAAACATAATTAAACACAAACTTATTTGCAGTATAATATAACTTAACAACAAAGTAAACGTATAAGTACCTAAACATAATATGTCAATTGTAAATGTTATTTACTTATATATTACAAAAAAAAACAAATCTGGAGATAATTTTACTGAAACAATCCTGCCCCCTCCCTGCCCCCTACATCACACAGACATACTCACCCTCTATCACACAAACATACTCACCCACTCACACACATACTCACCCACCCACCCACCCACCCCCCCCCCCCCACACACACACACACACAGTACTCACTCAGTGGATGTCTGCCAACATTCTCAACTTAAGAAAAATATACTAAATAAGTTATCCAGGCCGCAAAATCGAGTTACGCTTTTAACAAGCTCACGGTGGAGAAGAAAGCAAATCTTAATTAATCTTAAGCTGCTCCCACTTTAAAAAATGTGATCCTAGCTTTCCCATTTTAATTGCTATTTTCTTTTCCTCATCCCTATACTTAAAAATGCTTTTTTTCATCTTTTCTAAAGTTAGTACTCGCCCCCCCCCCCCGATCTTGACATAAATGTAACATACTTCACCATAAAAATGATAGTATTACACATTTTTATTCTATATGAACTACCTACCAACCCAACAAATATATCTCGCCATTCTAAATCTTTAATTTCATCTAACTCAAAAAGTTGTATTAAAGCCTGCCATAACCTTTGAACGCTCCCACAAGATAAAAATAAATGTTTGTATGTTTCTATTTCCTGCTTACAAAACGAACATAAATTATCACCAACAAAACCAAATCTATGAAGATGCTCATTAGTGTATATGGCTCCATGCAATAATTTAAATTGAAATTCACGTTGTTTTCTAATGAGTATAGTAATTCTTGGTCTCACAAATATTTCTTTTAATTCTTTATCTATAAAATCATAGTCATTTTGCCCATCCCTTACCTGCAAATCATACGTTCGCTGCAGTGCTTTGATGAAATAATCATAGATTGTTCTTGAACCCACATCCACAAACTGTATTTTTTTACTAGAAATATGGAAATAAGTATTAAAGCTTATCAAATCAACCTCGAGGAATTCTATTAACCCTGAATCATCCTTCCATAACCTGGGTATCGCATCATAAATATCAATAATCATAAGCAAATTATTACCTTTCATACCGAGGTTCATAAAATATTTAACAGGCTTAACATGACCTTTCTCAACCAAATGATTCAGTTGAACAATCCCTCTTTCAAACAAGTATCTATCAAATATACTTTTTCCATTTATACATATATTCTGATTATTAAAAATAATTGGATTAATATAACCCTCCAAATATCTTAAATTACTTGTCTCTTGCCATGCTTGCAACATTTCCATATAGTATGGTGGAATATCTAAAACGAGTTTAATCTTGTTTAAATCATAATCACATAAAAAAATAAATCTACCACCCACAAACTGTAAGCAATGATCAAAAAACAATTTCCATCCCAAACTTTTCTCTCCATATAAAAGACGTTTTATCCACATTATGCGCTGTATTTTAACGGACATTTCAAAATTAATCATTCTTAATCCTCCAAAGTCATAATCCTGATACATTATTGCCCGTTTAATTCTATCTTTCCCCCTCCATATGAATTCAAATGAAATTTTTGCAACTTCTTTATATACCCAATGAGGGACAATAACGAGAGATGAAATATAATTTAATTTTGAAAGCGCATAAGTTTTTAGCAAATGTATTTTACCCATAATAGTTAAATCTCTTTGTTTCCACCATACAAGCAATTTTTTTATTTTACTTAGAATTTCTTTATAATTTAAATCATCTTTTAAACTTCGATCTAATGAATAACTAACCCCTAAAATATGTATTTCCTTAACCAAATTTCCAAATAAAGGCCCATCAGGTTTGTTCTCATCCTCACCCATCCACATAAAATGTGTCTTTGTTTTATTCACTTTAAGACCACTAATTTTTTCAAATGATTCAAAAATATATTGCAACCTTCTAACCGAATCAATATCCTTCAAAAATATTGTCATATCATCTGCATATAACACTTGCCTAATTTCAGATTTTCCAAATGTAATCCCTTTAATACCGTTGTCCCTCCTTACTGCATGCGCCAAAATTTCGATGGCAACCAAAAACAAATATGGCGATAATGGATCCCCTTGCCTTACTCCCCTTTCTATTTCAAAATACCCCGTGGAGTGACCACCGTTCATAACACAACTACTTATCCCTTTATACAATAATTTTACCCAAGAGCAAAATGAATCTCCAAAACCGAACAATTTCAATATTTGAAATAAATATCTATGAGATACAGAGTCGAAAGCTTTCTCAAAATCCACTGCACACAAAAACCCTTTCCCTTGTTCCCCATAATGGATAGAATAAAATAACATGTCATCTATCAATCGTACAGCTTCCCCAATATTTCTATCTTTTATATATCCAACTTGATCATGATGAATTATTTCATTTAAAACCTCTTTCATTCTTTTTGCTAGAACTTTAGATACAATTTTATAATCTACATTCAAAAGCGTGATGGGTCGATAATTTTTTATATGGAGAGTATCTTTCGCTTCCTTCTCAATTAAGGTAATTACCCCTTGTTTTTGAGATGCCGTTAATTCCCCCCTTTCGTATGTTTCATTCAATACTTCTACTAACAAATCACCCAAAGCTGGCCAAAAAGTATAATAAAATTCAACTGTTAACCCATCATTTCCCGGGGTTTTATTCAATTTCATTTCTATGACTTTTAAAACTTTCAAGCATTCATCTTTAGTTAATTTACCTTCACAGATTTCCTTATTGTCTTCATTTAACTTTGAAATATCATTGAAAAAGAAAGGGTCGTTTTGATTTATATCAGCCCTTAAAGAATATAAATCTTTATAAAATAGTTTAATTTCCTTTAAAATTTCCTCCTTATCTCTAGTAGTTTCCCCATTTTCTTTGTACACCTCCCTAATTACACTTTTCCTTTTATTCGATTTTAACAGCTGTTCAAAATATTGCGTATTGTTTTCTCCATCTTCAAACCAAGGTGCTCTTGATCTTATTTTAATGCCCTGTCGAGAAAAATCATACAATTTATTTAGTTTATCCCTTTTCTCCTCAATACAATCAACAATATATTTAGTGGGTCCCACTACCAGTTCGCCTTCTAAATCCTTGATTTGTTTCTCTAACAGTTCTATTTCAACCCTCCTTGCTTTTGCCTTTTTCCGCGAGTATGTTATAATAAATTCTCTCATTTTCATCTTTAAAAAATCCCAAAATACTAATTTATTCAAAATCTGTAATGACCATTCAGCTTTTAATTCCTGTATTTCCTTATTCATCTCTTCAACAAAATCTTTATCCATACATAAACTACTGTTAAATTTCCAATATGATTTCCCGAAAACAAACTTATCAACAAGATCATTAAATTCTAGCCTAACGCCAGAATGATCTGGCGTAATAGATGTCAAAATCTCACACGTACCCACCAATTTTTCAACACTACAAGGTATAAACCAATAATCTAAACGGCTTTGCACTACCGGCCAATTTTGTCGAAAAGTAAATTGCTTTACATTCGGATTTTTTTTCCTCCATATATCTTCTAAATCGTATTTATTTAAAAATTCCTTAATCAAATCAATAACCCGAGATTTCACCGGTGTTTTTGACCCCACATAATCTAATTTTCCATCCAATATACTATTGAAATCACCTCCTAATAAAACTAAATAGTCCCGATCACACTGATCAAAAATACTTTCATCTAACTTCTTCAAAAATTCAATTTGTAAAGTTTCTTTATCTCTCGTTGGAAAATAAACATTAACCAATAGCATTTTAACCCTTTGTATTTCACCTTTAAAAATAATGTATCTCCCCTCTTCATCTACTTTAATTTTTTTTTCTTCAAAATCTAAATGATTAGAAAATAAAATAAGAACCCCTCTACTATGGTTTGACCCATGACTAAAAAACATTGGCCCTCCCCAATCTTGTTTCCACCGCTCTTCTATCTCTACTGTACTATATGTTTCTTGTAAGAAAATTATACTATTCTTTTTAGTTTTGCACCATTCAAAAATATTCACTCTTTTTAACCTATCTCTTATTCCTCTAACATTTAATGTCATGAAAGATAATTTCACTGCCATGTTATTTTATGTGTAATTGTATCCAAAACCTTACATCGATAAACTCCAAAGAAACTTCCACACAATCTATTTCCACCGTGAGCAAATGTATGGAAAAAACTATCTGCAGCCAAAC